GGCTCCTCCTGTGCAGGCAGCGCATGTCTCTCGTGTCAGCTGTTAACTGGTTAGGTGCTACGTGCTGCTGCCACAGCCCCGCTTTGCTTGTCCCTGCTCTGTCCTCCCACAGGGCTGCGGTTCTGCTGGTGCTGATCCCCAGGACATACCCTCACTGTGCACCCTGATGTCCCGCTCGCTGTCCCCTTCCAGAGTGGGGCAACCATCCAGGGAGCGCAGCGTCTCCTGCAGCATCATGGCCTGAAAATTAAAGCCATAAATTGCTGGTGCGTGAGCTTACCGTCCTCCAGGGAGGCGGGGAGCTCAGCCAGGGATGCTGCTGCTGGCACTGGGGACACCCAGCGGGATACCCAGGGCAGCTGGGATTGTGGGAGTCGCGTGGAGCATCCTTCCTGGTGCTGAGCATCCTTCCTGGTCCTGAGCATCCTTCCTAGTGCTGAGCATCCTTCCTGGTCCTGATCGTCCTTCCTGGTCCTGAGTGTCCTTCCTGTCCTTCCTGGTCCTGAGCATCCTTCCTGGTCCTGAGCATCCTTTCTGTCCTTCCTGGTGCTGAGCATCCTTCCTGGTCCTGAGCATCCTTCCCGGTGCTAAGCATACTTCCCAGTGCTGAGCATCCTTCCTGGTACCGAGCATCCTTCCTGGTCATGAACATCCTTCCTGGTACCCAGCATCCTTCCCAATGATGAGCATCCTTCCTGATGATGAGCATCCTTCCCAGTGCTGAGCATCCTTCCTGGTGCTGAGCATCTTTTCCTGGCACCGTTTTGATCCCACAACTGCTTTAACCAAGCAGACACTGATTGCCAGAGCCCCGATGCTGCCGCTTCTGTGAGCTCCTCGGGTGCCGAATTGTTCGCCTGACTGACAGCTGAGCAGCCCAGACAGGTCTATTATTTCTATGGGGCCCGGGCCCCGCGGGCCTGCAATTTAGGTCTGCGCTATTAACCCTGCCTTGTTCTCCACTTTATAACCGCTTTAGTGCCTTTAAAAGTGTACAGTTAAAATCAGGGTTAATTAGGGGCCCGGCAGCTGGGCTTCGCGGCGCCCATTGTGTCCCAGTGGAGCTGGGGCCAGGGGTAATTGGGGACTGTTGTGGGTTTGTGCCGGCCGACTCCCGCGCGGCACAAGCCCCAGATCATAGGCCTCCGGCTAGCCTTAGTCTCTCCTGCTGTATGGATGTCTTCGGTGAGCTTCCTTCCCCCCTTTCTCCCCATCTTTCCTTCTTCCCCCGGCCCTCGCGGGCTGTGGCTGCAGCTGGGCACAGCTTGGGGGACCCCAGGGATGCTGGGGATGCTACGGATGCAGGGGATGCAGGAGATGCTGAGGATGCCACAGATGCAGGAGATGCAGGAGATGCCACGGATGCCACAGATGCAGGGGATGCAGGAGATGCCACAGATGCCACAGATGCAGGGGATGTAGGAGATACTGGGGATGCCACAGATGCAGGGGATGCAGGAGATGCTGAGGATGCCACAGATGCAGGAGATGCAGGAGATGCCACGGATGCCACAGATGCAGGGGATGTCGGAGATACTGGGGATGCTACGGATGCAGGAGATGCTGGGGGTGCCACAGATGCAGGGGATGCAGGAGATGCTGGGGTGCCACAGATGCAGGAGATGAAGGGGCTGCAGGAGATGCTGGGGATCCCCATCCCCGTCAGACATTTTGTACAGACCTGGCTGCTCCGGGCATGGCGGGGCTGGAGCTCCCCGACCCATAAACCGAGATTTATTCTGGATCACGGCACCGGTGAGGTCTGGGATTTACATCTGTGTCTCGAACCGGGTTTGGTGGCCAATTTGCTAAAGTAAAAAGTTGTTTAGCTGGAGGCGTAATCTTATAAGCCTGTGCTGCCATTATAATGGCTTCTCGTTTCTGCCTGGCTTTCCAATAATGCTTTGAGCAGAAGCTCGGAGTAATATAAAAAGCCATCGGATTATTACTGCAGGCGATGCATTTTCCATTTACAGTAATAAAATACTGAAGAAACAAAACAATTTAAAATTCCAATAAAATTCAAAACAAATCTTTGGCTGCTGAGCAGATTCAATTATTTAGCTGTTATTGAGTGCAGGCTGGAAAAAATAGAGCAGCTCAGGGAGGGAGGGGGGAGCCCGGAGCCGGGGGTGTGCCGGCCGCATCCCGTGGGA